GTTTTAGGACTTGTATGGAGAACAGGTAAATATTTTAGGTTCACAGTTATACAGAATTATTGAAAATTCAAAAGGGTTTACAAACCTTTAAGCACCATTGCAAAAAAAAAAAATCTGAGTCATGCCACAAATCCATATTTCCCTCTTTTTGGTTACTGGTGTTTTTTTTTTCAGTGTATGTCATAAGTTTAAAATTATTATATCAGCATAGATGAAGATAATTAGCAAGGCTGCATACCCCATGCTTTAAAAAAACATTGCAAGAAAATGTTAATTCTCTTTATGACCTTGGCCATAGTGAAGATAAAGAATAGGGTAAAAGTTTAGCATCCTTTCATTTTAACTATATATTTTACATTTCTAAAACTTAAGTAAACCTCCTCTTAAGAAGATTAGTTATAGTGGTGTTGTTAGAGCCAACCTTCTTGATTTGGTAAAAATATGATAAGCATTTTTTGAATATGAGTTTTCAATATCTCTCCCTACAGCAAGAAGACAGAGCATCACTGGCCACCACACTGTCCAAGCCATCAGTCCCCACTGTTGCTTCCTCTACAGATATGCTCCATAGTAAGCTTTCCCAGCTCCGCGAATCACGGGAACAATACCAGCACATTGATCTGGACTCCAATCAGACCCATGCTGGCATTGGAAGTACCAATTCCTCTTCTACAGCATCCAATATTGATGATTTGAAAAAAAGACTGGAGAGAATAAAAAGCAGTCGCAAGTGAAATTGCGTGAGACGGTTTGGCTATTGCAGAGCTATCCATCTTTAGTTGACTAAATTAGAAGTCTACATAGTTAAGTGGCCTCATCCAGGCCTTATGTATACAAACTGGTTTCTGTGTATAATACAGCAGATCTTGGAGGAGGATCCAAGTCAATGTGGCACAAATCTTTGTATATATTTTGCTTCTTTGTGAGCATTTCTTGACCGTAGAAGAGAGTCCATGTATTAGTTTTAGTGTACAGAGCTGTAAACAATTCTCCTGCTCAGTCCAATTTCTCAAAACTTGGTTTTATTTGTTAAGTTGTCTTATCTTAGCTCTCTTAAATCTTAGAAACTTTTCGTTGCATTCATTTTTAATTTTGTGAATTACTTCTCCACATAATCTTTGAACTGTTTCTGTATGGACGCATGGCATGAAGCAAGTAATTTAAGTGTCTTTTTGTAAATAAAGTTTGCATTAACTCTCTGTGGGAGCAGCAGTGACTTGGTGGCAAATGTTCATCCATGTTCCTAATTGCTATTGTGACTCCGCATTTTGTTAAGTGAGTGTGTGTCTGAATCACTATAGCAAATGAACTTTCATTGGGAAAACAAGGAGAAGCTGAGATACTAATGTATAAATGTGTTCCAGATGAAGGAAATTTTTAATATTAATAATATTGTGCTTACAGAAAACTCTTGACCCAAAGCCAGAACATTTTGCATCTCAGACAATATCTTCCAAATCTTTTCCTGTAATCTTAATTGAGGATTGGTTTTAAACCTTTTTGAATATTAGATTTCCTCAAGATAGTGGAAGTATTCTGTACTTAAGATGGGCAAATAATTAGGTTTTTCTTAATGTTACTATAATTGTGGTGAATCCATTTTCTCTTCCTATCCCAGAAGCTGCTAGCAAGTTTGTGTTAAATGTATCACCAGAAATTGTAATAATGACTGAGATATTTGGGACTCTACTTCCAAAATAATTGTGCTTTGAAGTGAATGGATATTGTGACCATTAACGGTCACACTATTTGTCACAATATCCATCCACTTCAGAGCACAATTGTTAGAGAGTTGTGAGAAATTATCTGGCTGACTTGCATCTCTTTTATTCATGGTTGCTTCATAAGATCTCTTCCTACAGGTGTCATAACATAGAGTTTCTGTAGTCTCTTTAGCACCTTCCATTTCCTACTGCATGTCCTGTATCATACTTCCTAGAGTATCAGTTGCTTTTTTGTCTGACATAGATTTCATTTACATCTTTATGCCTGTTAAGCTTTGGCTGATAGTGCTGGTGCTATACAGTAGTTCTATATTGCAACCAATCAAACTTGGTAATAATCTGTAAAAATATAATTGGTCACTAGGTGCATATATGATATGTAATCTGGTGGAAAATTGGTGTAATAAGCTTACTTATCCGCAATATGTAGATTTTCCTACTTAGAAGATTATCTATACTTGCCTTGAAACCTATTCTAATTTGCAATCTTTTCAGCTGAAACTACTTCTTAAAGAATTACTTGCCTTAGCTAGGAATATTAAAGAATGGATCAGCACCTATCTAAGTGGGTAAAATACATTTTGTGTTTAAAAACCACAATAATAACTTGCTAGCACTATGATGGGCCTTGAAATGGTGCCAAAATATATGTATTTTGCTAACATATAGTTTTCTTCTGGTACATTATTTGAAATAGTAAGAAATCCCTAATTTTTCAATAACACAAGAGTTCACTTATAGAATCTGGAGATAAACATTGGATTATAATATTCAGCAAGTATTAAAAATAATATTTGGAAGTGAAGCCTCTGAGTTAAAATCTATTAGCTACCGTGTTTCCCCGAAAACAAGACCCTGCTTATATTTTTTTGAACCCTGAAATAAGCATTTGGCCTTATTGCCATGCACTCAAAAGCCCGATTGGGCTTATTATCAGGGGATGTCTTATTTTGGGGAAAACGGTATGTTGTCTAACAATATACTTAGCTTCTTTCATTTTTTCCTTGCAGTATGTGGCTTTTATCAGTTTGATAATACCATTTTAATATTGATTTCCAAAATGCCCTATAGCATTTAAACCATTTTTAGCTTTAACTTAGAACTAACGGAAATGTTTCTACAGTACATTGGAATAAATGTTACCTTTTACTATTAATTTCTCTGTACTTCCTGAATCTTGGTGATAGAATTTCTCAGTGGAGTAACTATGAAATCTTTTCTAGAAAAGATAGAACTAAAAAATTTTGTCAGTGGTTCAGAGGATAACATTTTCTCAGTTACTATATAGAGAACATATTTATTGGTATCAACTTTGTTACTTAATGGATGTTTTTGTAATATATTCAGTTTCCTCTTCTGTCTTTATAGAGCTTCACTTAGTAAGTGGAGAAATGTTTGCTGCTGTATTAAAAGTGACTGACAGCTCTAAAAATAGTGAGATCATTGAATTGTTGCTGCTATGAGTTTCTCCAAAGAGAAGGAGTTTTGTTCTATTCTGCTCATCTATAATGTGTCCTATTCAATGCAAAATGGGCTATGTGCTTGACTTACTATTCTTGGCTTCCCTTTTTCCTTTTTGGGTTGAGTGAATAGTAGAACTGGCAATATAGAAACATACAAAGAGGCTATTTTTTCTATAACTCAACGTAGTGTACAGGTTCTGATGCAAACTTCGGAGCTGGTGGCTGGTTCTCACATCTCATTGGCACCAGCATATGAAAGCATTGATAATTCAGCTAGTTCCAATGTCAGCATCACAATTCCATCAGACCATTGGGAGAAGAAGTACTACATGACTGGCTCTGGTTCATTTTACAGGGGACCTACGATAAAATTATTTTTTCAGAAGAAATCATGTTATAAAGAATATGCAAAGGCTTTTGGTATGTCCTGTTAGTGTTAAATAATGCTAGTTTGAGTTTCTCACTGAGTTTGGACATATTTTTAATTAGAGAATTTTTGCATGAACTACAGAAATTAGAATGCTTTCAAACTAAATTAAACCAAATATCTGGTTGGTATTTGGTGTATTGAAACAAATACTAAGTATTGTATCACTCTGAATGAAAAAGCATTTAATGATAGGTTAATTTTTCCTCTCCTGATTTCTTAGGACCTAATTTTTTTCATGATGTCTGTGAAACACGTGTTTAGTTTCTATGCATCCAAAAGCATAGCATTAGAAGACTTTGATAGAAATTCTGCCTCGAAAATACTGTATGTGTCTAAAGTGGTAGCTTTTATTAGTTAACTCAGGGTTTTTTCCCCAAGTGTTTAATTTTTAATGTCTGTTGCACTAAACTAACAGAAAAATAGTATGTGTACAACAGTAGTCCATTAATCAGTATTAATTAATCAGTATTAATCAGTATAATAATAGATACAGGAAAATGGGCATGCAAAATTGTCATAAATAGTTCCAAGAAAAAATCAATGCTCAGATGTTTTCCTTAACCATTTGTTGAGTGAAAAATCTAATCCAAATGTCTGTTCATTAAGAGTGTTCTGTCGATGTTTTTTTTTTTTTTTTGCTTTTTTTTTTTAAATACTCCCATTGCATCTATGTTTCATTTTTACCTTTTTTTTAAACCATTGAGTGTTTGAAGTATCAGAATGTCTGTTAGAGGTTGAAGGGTATGAAGTTACAAATGAAACTGTAAATTAGCCTCTTCCAATGGATACTCCTTGATTGTTCAGGGGAAAATATTTAACTAAATAAATGCTGTTATTGCCAAACTTTAACAAACAAGCATATCTTCTTGTTTCTGGGCTTGTGGGCATGAACCTTGGACAACACTGGTCCAAAGATGCCTTTTCAGCAGCCTGCCCTTTAATGAGGTAGCAACCTCTCTCTAACAATGGAATCAATTCTGTGACATTTAGAATGAAAGCCGTTGTTGCCTTTCAAACAGAAGGGATCTCTCACACACAAATAGGCTGGTTTTTATCTAATTGAATAAAGCATGTGGTTGAATGCAAAATCTTTGCTTATTTGCAACCCCTGCCATGTTAAAAAACTCTGCTACGTATAATTTATTTCCTTCAGAACATTTTACTCTCCAAAGAAACAGGAAAGCCAACTTCTTGTAACTTGTATTATTTGCCTCGCAGCTTCCTATGTTAAAGGTATACATTTAGGAATGCAGAAATGTTCTGTCAGATTCTAAAGGGGTGCTTTGGGTAATGGTGCATGGAGGTCCTTCCATTATCCAGATGATTTGGCTGATGCATTCAATAGAAATTGCCTGCAGTTGATACCAGGAAAAAAAACAAATGTTTTATCTAAAAATCTTTATTCAGGAATGACTCTGATTTATTTCCATCCATAGGCTTTTAGTATTGTACGGTTTAATTATTCTATGTCCGTAAACCAAGGTGCAAATGCAAATTTTGATTCCTATTTAATGGCCATGTTTCTCAATAATCTTTTGCATCCATTTCTTCAGACGGAACAGATGGGTATAGAATCCATATTTGCCATCACGATCACAACCTTCTCCCCAGGAGACAATACCTACTTGATACCACCGTTCTTCTGTTGGATGCTGGTAGGGAGGAAAGAAGTGCCACAGTATCAAAGGGGGGGTCAGCAAATTGCAAATAGTATATGTAGGTCATTTAAAGAAACATGAACAGTACCAGTAGAAGGATTGGGTAATCTACAAGACTATAAGCAAGAAGGAGGTAGCCCATGAACATTTCTGAGTCTACAGGTGAAACTCGAAAAATTAGAATATCGTAAAAAAGTTCATTTATTTCAGTAATGCAACTTAAAAGATGAAACTAATATATGAGATAGACTATAAGCAAGAAAGAGGTAGCCCATGAACATCCCTGCTGCTTGTGCACCTTTTTCTTCCACACTTTTCCCTTCCACATAACTTTCTATTAATGTGCTTTGATACAGCACTTTGGGAACATCCAACTTCTTTTGCAATTACCTTTTGAGGCTTTCCCTCCTTATGAAGGGTGTCAATGATGGTTTTCTGCACAACTGTCAGGTCAACCATCTTTCCCATGATTGTGATTCCTACTGAACCAGACTGAGAGACCATTTAAAGGCTCAGGAACCCTTTTCAGGTGTTGTGGCTTAATTAGCTGATTAGAGTGGGACACTTTGAGCCTAGAATATTGAACCTTTTCACAATATTCTAATTTTTTGAGATTGTGAATTTAGGGTTTTCATGAGCTGTAAGCCATAATCATCAAAATTATGACAAATCAAGGCTTGAACTATCTCGCTTCGCATGTAATGAGTCTATCTCATATATTAGTTTCACCTTTTAAGTTGCATTACTGAAATAAATGAACTTTTGCACGATATTCTAATTTTTCGAGTTTCACCTATATTTGAAAAGGGTTGGGGTAGGGAAAATATTCAACAACAGAATAAATTAAGGTTTATGTCAAGACAGGAACTTCAGAATTTGGGCTGTGTTAGTGAGAAGGTTCTCTCTTTTTTTAGATTAAGAAGATCCTATAGTCCTGGCTGGTAATTGCTCTTACTAAGATTTCTAAATTCAGATTTGAGGTAGTTGCTTTTTAAAAAGTTCTGAGCTTTGTCTTTGACTGTTCTGATCTTGAGCTCAAAGTTAGCACTGCTACAATTCAAGGGCTATTTCTGCTGTGTATATCTGCTTGTACCACACACTCACATATGCACACCCAACAGTAATTGGGGAAGAGCCACCCTTTCCTCACTTAATTTGTAGCTATTCCTTTCTAAGTTCCTGCTTTCCTGCTCTTATTGATATGTTTAATTAACTTGTAACGCTCTTAAAGTGAAGAAGATGCAATCCTTTAAGAATATTGCTGAAAAGAAGAAATGAATGGTGGCACTAGCAAGGGAAAGTTGCACTCTGGTCCTTGCTGCAGACTGATGAATAGTGGGCCTGTGACACCAGCAGTTTGTCCATTTATGTTTTGTAATCACACGTAGAAACTTACCTTCATGACAAAAGGGCCCCCACTGTCACCCTCACAAGCATCTCCTCTCTTGCTTTCTTCAGGACTATAACCTAAAAAAAAAAAAGCAATTAGTAAAGAGGCAGCACTCTCCAATATTTTTTCTGGTTCCCCCCCTCAACTTTTAATGTAGTTCCTGAGCTAATCAGTTTGATACTTGTGAAATAGTATGACCTGCTTCACTTGTTACAATGGCTTAAAGGGTTCACTCTAGATTACACCGAAAGCTAATTACTGGTTGTTTTCTCATTCTGTGTGGACACAGACAATGCCTTTGGTTTGCCGGTTGGTACGCAGAAACTCCATGACTTTGTGAGGTGTTTAGCATGTTTGCTGTCATAAAATGTACAGGCAATCATGATTTAAATCAGGGGTCCTCAAACTTGGCAGCTTTAAGACTTGTGGACTTCAACTCCCAGAATTCTCCAGCCAGCTATGCAACAGTGTTGTAATTTGGGAGTCATAACAGTAGGTGAGGTGAACCTGCCTTGGATCCAACCATATTGAATAACTTTCGCCCAGTCTCCAACCTTGGCTTTGTTGCGAAGGTTGTTGAGAGCGTGGTGGCTCAGCAGCTCCCGTCGGTCCTGGAGAAAACAGACTACCTGGATCTGTATCAATCGGGTTTCAGGCCGGGGTACAGCACGGAGACGGCATTGGTCGCACCAGTGGATGATCTCTGGAGGGCTCGGGACAGGGGACACTCCTCTGTTCTGGTCCTCTTGGATCTTTCGGCGGCTTTTGATACCATCGACCATGGTATCCTGCTGCGACGACTCGAAGGGTTGGGAGTGGAAGGCACTGTTTTACAATGGTTCTCTTATCTCTCGGGTTGTACTTAAGCAGTGTTGGCAGAGGGGCAGAGATCGGCTATGGGGCCCCTCACTTGTGGGGTGCCCCAGGGGTCAGTTCTCTCGCCTCTCCTGTTCAACATCTATATGAAGCCGCTTGGGGAGATCATCCGTGGTTTTGGGGTGCGGTATCATCAGTATGCTGATGATACCCAGCTTTTTATATCCACCCCGAACCAGCCCTCGACGTGATGTCCTGTTGCCTGGAAGCGGTACGGACCTGGATGGGGAGGAACAGGCTCCGACTCAACCCCGCCAAGACCGAGTGGCTGTGGGTACCGGCATCTGGGTCCAATCGAGATATTCCATCGTTGACCATCGGGGGTGAGGTGTTACCCCCTGTGGATAGGGCCCGCAAGTTGGGTGTCCTTCTGGATTCACAGTTGTCTCTGGAAGATCATGTAGCGACCGTGACCAGGGGGGCATTTGTCCAGGTCCGCCTTGTGCGTCAGCTGCGCCCTTATTTGGACCAAGATGCCCTACGCACCATTACTCATGCGCTGGTCACCTCCCGTCTTGACTACTGCAACGCTCTCTACCTAGGGCTGCCCTTGAAAACCACTCGAAGGCTTTAACTGGTGCAGAATGCAGCCACGCGGATTGTGATGGGAGTGTCCCGACACTCCCATGTTACACCCCTCCTGCGCGACCTACATTGGCTACCAGTTGCCCTTTGGGTGAGGTTCAAGGTGCTGGTTATCACCTATAAAGCCCTTCATGGCCTAGGCTCGGGATACTTGTTGGACCCCCTGCAGCCAGGAACAATCTCCAATCGCCCGGTGCGTTCCCACAGACAGGGCCTCCTCAGGGTGCCGTCGGCCAGACAATGTCGGCTAGCGACCCCCAGGGGGAGAGCTTTCTCTTTGGGTGCACCCACACTTTGGAACCAACTTCCTTTGGAGCTCCGGATGGCCCCTGACCTTCGCTCGTTCCACTGTGATTTGAAGACCTGGTTGTTTCGTAGCCTGGACTGATTGGGGGGGGGGGTGTTTCTTAATAGTTTTAAATTGATTTTAAGCTCTTTTAATTTGGACTTTTAATTTCATATTGTTTTAATATGCAATTGTGCATTTTATTGTTGTGAGCCGCCCTGAGTCCATTGGAGATAGGGCGGCATATAAATCGTATTAAACTTAAACTTAAACTTAAACTATCTATGCACTCAGTGGTGTCAATTACTGATGTATTTATATTTGGGAAAAGACACTTAAGTTACTCCGTTTGCTCACTGGAGAGCAAAGGAATAGAGGCAGGAGTAGTAACAGGGTGAGAGTTGATAGTCTTCCCTCTCATACAATGAAAATAACTTTCCTTCATCCTATCGGCCGACTGCTGTTCCTTGCATAGTGAGCAAGGAAGTTCCTTGCAAACACACAGAATCATGCCTACCCGTACTTCTGCCTCAGCATCAAAACTCACCTGCACAGAACATGTTGTCTGTGACTTTAATATTAGTGGATGCCTTACAGATGTCCCGGTTCACAATGGGGAGATTCACCTGCTGCAGCACGCTGGGCAGTTGTCGTGACCCTGCGCCCCAGGTGTCAAACAGATTACCCCAACCAGTAACACGGCCTTTATATCCTGTTAACAATAGGCTATGGAACAAAAGTGGAGTTGATTATAAGATTTGGGAGATCCTAGAGTGAGATAGATTAATATAAATAATGGAGATATGGTGCATCATTAAAACAGGTCATTTATATTTGCCCAACCTGGGCAATATATGATGACCTTCCTCTTGGTCTCCCCCACCATCTGAATTGTTTGGCAGAGATCAAGTTATGACAGGAAGGACAAAAGTCAACCATCTCACTAAGAACTGAGTGAAGAGATTGTCTGCAGAAATCACAAGAAGAAAAGAGAGGATTTGGTAAAAACAAACAATTTTAGAGCACACTTAAGAATTTTGCTTATTGCAAATGCTGCTCAAATCTTGAACTCTTCCAGGCAAATTCTCTTTTACTCTGAAAATAGAAAAAATTGTTTTTCTTAAAATGTGAAAATGGAGGGAGTTTTTTAAAATTCTTACATTGCATTTACATCTGCTGCCCTAACAGGCTAACTCCTTCCTCAACATTTCTGACACTATGAATTCCTTCCTCTCTATATTTCTTGGTTCTTTTCTACAGAACAAGTGAGAACTCTCCAGTTTGTTCAGCAGTCCTAGGGAGTTTTTCTCTTGCAAGCTTTCTGTAGCTAAAGACTTTCAGTTAAGATATTTGAGCTCCATTGTGGTGCTTGGATCTTCAGCCACATCAGAGCTAGATGGTGGGAACTCTGGCATAGCTAAGTCATAAAGTTTTTATATTGATCAAAAAAGTCAAGATGGTGTACCATTCGGTCTACCATGCTTTTTTATCTTGGCCTGAAAATGCTCATGGCAGAGTTCAAATTCATACTATATCAATGGATAAAGAAGATGGAATCTAGATATCAGAGAATGCTTCAATCCACAAAGTTTTGCAGAGTTAATTACCAAATATGTATGGCATGCTGTAAACATCCTATACAAAATTTGGATTTCCTCCAGTCAACATAATGAGCTAATACAAATCAGAATTAGAAGTCAGATAAAATCAACACAAATCAGATAATTAGATGTATCACATTGTTTGCCAGTAGTCTAACACATCTAGTGCTGCTAGCAGGACCAATAATCCTTTATCATCTTGCCTAGTTGTATTCCAAGGAGGTGTGAAACCATACTGAAGATTTTGCATTTGACAGTGATGATCTCTTTCAAACAAAGGGCAATGAGGAGCTCAAACTGATGCAAAAGCTCTGCATTGCTTCTTAAGAATGCTAACACTTATTATCATTTTTTACCACCATTCTCTTTCCTTGAAGAAGATCTTGGTGCCAAACGGTTAATACTTCCTACAGAGTTTTATCCTGTTCCACAGAGCAGGCGTCTGCAACCTTGGCAACTTTACGACTTGTGGATTTCAACTCCCAGAATCCCTCAGCCAGTGCAACCTGCCAAGGTTGCAGACCCCTGCCACAGAGGACTGAAAACTTCTGGATGTTCTCTTAGATCTTGGTCCCAAACAATTCTAATCTATGGGTGCCTCTTGCATCATCTTTAGCTTTATTTCTTCCAAGCTAGTGGATGTAAATACTGGTTTGTTTTTTTCATTTTTGTTACCCTAAAGAAGCAACTCTACAGACTGCTAAGAGTGTCCTTGGTGTTCTCTGAGGTTGGTTGTTTTCTTGCAGATCTTTCATTACCCAACTAGGCTAACCTAGGTAGCAATGAAGACATTACCTAGTTGGTAATGAAACATCTCAGAGTAGCAAGAATTCCACAGTTCAACCGTGAACTATAAAAACTCTCTTCTAGTGAGATGGTTAGAGCCTAGAAATTATGATTAATAGTGATGGAACTGAATTTCCTATTATTTACTTGAATATTACATAGTGCTAAGCCCACTCTTATTGCCACTCTTTGAAGAGAAAGAGATAATTGAGCTAGGTTTCTCAAATCTTGCCATCAAATATTTTTTACCTTTAGCTTTTTACCATTCCAAAGTGGGATGGGAGCATTCATCTTGTGGACTGTGAGATTTGAATTTATTTAATGCACCAGATGGTCACATCTGCTGAATTCCTGTTTCACACTGTAAATTGGCTAGTTTCCCCTGAATTTAACATATTCTTCCATAGCTATTACTGCTTCCTTTAATGCATATGATAACAAAGTCTTTACAATTGTGTATCCTCTCACTTTTAAACACCTCCACACATTGGCTCTTTATGGTGTACCCATAGTTAGTTCAGCCTTTGTTGCATGCTTCCAATCTTTGCATTATCATGCCAGAATGACAAATTGCTCATTCAGGATATTGAATATTTGCAAAGATTAAATGTTCCTTCCCAGAGTCTGAAGAATACCACAATCCTACCTGATTGTGAGAGTGTGAAAATATTAGGAAGACAGACTCTGTTGCCTGTACAAAGATCAAAGTGCTGGACAGTGGCTTTTTTTAGCAGCAAGACACCAGGGAAAAAATCTCACAGACATTCCAGTATCGATTATTGAGATAAGGAGTAAGAAGGCATATAAATTACAAAAGGAAAGTGAGAGAAAGTGACTTGAGAAGGGGGGGAAATTAAATAAATTAAAATTATGACTTGTTTTCTTATGTTTTTATCCTATTGTATAAATACATAGAAAAACATACTGATTTTGTAAATAATGCATATGAATCATAGAATCGTAGGGCTAGAAGGGACTTTGGAGATCTTCTAATCCAATATATTTACTTGTATCTAATATTAGATCATACAATTGTATCTCATTATAGGTGTATACATCTATACTAATCCATCATTTGTTTAATTACTGGCTGTGTGTGTATCAATTCTCATACACATCCTCCCTTTCGCATTGTGAGATTGTGTCACTCATATTTGTCAGTGAAATAGTTGAATTATGCTGGCATGAGTTTTCTTTTCCTAACATTGATCTTGACTTACTTTAAAACTTTTTCAATTTTTTTTTTTAAAAACTACAGAATCTTGTCTCCTTACCTCTGAACAACCTGCTTGGTAGGCAAACATATTGGGTGTATATAATCACTGAAAGGTACAGGCTTAGACAGACGTAATAGTGCAATGTCCCGATCCAGATTTTCCATCCAGTTATATTTGGGGTGGAAGATGATTTTATCCAGGAAGATAATTTTCTCCTTGCCCTGCTCATATCTGAATATCCAGAGATGAGAAAAAATGCAATGCTAATGTCAGGACATTTTTAACCTTTCTGTACTCTTTATAGCATGAACATCAAAGAGTAGTTTAATTGAGTTCCCTTTCCATTGTGTTAGTTCTGTAATATTATGATTACTATTTCTAACATTATGATTACTATTAACTTTATTGAATGTCTACCTATCCAGATAGTTCACTGTGAGCTTAACAAATAGGATAAAGTTACAGTTTATTATTAAACATTAAATGATGGTAACCAATTCAATTGGTCTTAACAGCTATATCAAAATTGTCAAGCAAATTTTTTATTCATCAACACATGGGTTAGAAACTGAGGACAATCGAAGGGATGCTGTATGCGTCCATCACAGTTAATTGTTAACTGATGGTTTCTTAATATAGGACCATTCTCAGTCATTCTCAATAGAAAACATATTATAAGGAAGACTCATTTCTTACATCCTTGCAACACAAGAATATGTAGCCTACAACTGTAGGGGTTGGCATCAAAGGAGACTGCAGTTTTTGAGCAGTCTTCTGCAATATCACAGAAACAGATCTGTGCAAGCTGGTTAATGAGGTGCCCGAAGGGATTCATGTCCTCTTTAAAACATGAATGTTGTGTCTTCACAACGTTATCCTCTCAGCTCATATATCTTAAACTTAAATATTTTAGGTCCACAAGACTGGGGTCACTTCTATCTAGAGAAAATTAAACTGAAATAAACCCTGCATCCTGGAACTTCTAATTGCCTGCAGATGTTAACTAAATGGAACTATAAATAAGAGCAGAGTTTAGGAGTTCCAGAATTGCTGGGTGTTGAGTGGCATATAAATTTAATCAATTATTATTTTGGTTGGTCATGTGGTCAACTAGATGTTTAGACTGGATTCACCAGTTGAGTCCTTCCCAAGGACCTGGGTAGCCATAGAGAGAGGTTGTTGTTTGATGGTGTTAGTATTGTTGCAGGATGTAAGCTGTTTCAAGTAAAGCTCTTTTGAAATGGACTGATGGTGACTTTATCAATGCTCATGTTGTTCAAGTGGTGCTCCAGATATTTTGGGATTGCACCCAAAAATATCTGTTACAACTATCACAATTCTTTCTATTTTGTTATGCTATTATTAAGGTTGGTGGATTGAGGCGTTTCATTCTTGCTGACAAGCCTGCTGCTCTGTCCTTGCGATTTCCATTTCTGCCCCTGTCTCAATAAGACACCACCTCCCAGCTAGAAAAAGGGGATGATAGAAGGCTGTTTTGTGGGGGAATGTAATCTGCATTCCCAGGAGAGAGGGAGTGCATTCCAGAGGAGCAAACTACAGCGAAATTTGGATAGTTGTGTGAGAGAAAGAGAGTTAAGGTAGCTCCTCCCTAGTAATTTTCAGAGTATGCAATATGCTTCATGGTGCAAGTAGTCTGCTTTAGTTTGGCAAGATTTCTGCCTATGGGTAAAAAAAAAAAAAATAGAGGAAATTGCTTAGAAGAATTTCAGTGTGACTTCCTTGATTTTTGGAGCCTGACAGTTAGTAACCTACACTCAGTTTAGAATTTGAGTAACCTACACTCAGTTTAGAATTTGACTGGCTCATAACCTTTTAAACTCTTACCGTATCCTGTTATGTTTGCCAATCCGTACAAGGAGGTCATCGGTTGTGTAATTTTTATCCCAGGGTGGATAGAAAATGCAATGTGCAGCAGTGAGGACCCAGCGATTGCTGATGAGACTAGCACCACATACCAGCTCCTGTGGTTTCTTCTTGAATAGCATGACTTGCCTAAGTACAATAAAATTAGAAATGCAGCGGGTGGGGAGGCAACTTTTTCAGGATTGATCATATCATTGAAACACTCTACAGGTAGAGAATGGATAGACAGCAATTGATTTGCATGTTATCTTTTCTTTGTATTGCTAGGTATTTCCTCTTACTGCCCAGGGTTCACAAAGAGGAAAGAGGCAGAAACTAACAAGGTCATACTTCAGTGGTGGGATTCTACCCATTTGCACGGGTTCGGTAGAACCGGTTGTTAAGTAGTTAAGTAGTTAAGCAGTTTGGAGAAGTGGTTGTTAAAAGAAATCTCCTTTTGTTTTTTTCAGGGTTAATCCTGTAAGGATTAATTACAACATTTGGTGTTGTTTCCTAGCCTAATCTTTATTACAGAAACTGCCTCTCCGGCAGTATGCCTAGACTTACTGTCACTTCCGGTTCAGGAGGTTCTCGGAGGCTATTTTTTTGCTTGACTTTCTTAAAGGGGAAGGGTTGTTTTAAGCTTTTTACATGGCTGTTGGGAGGAAATACTCCCCTGTTGGAGTTCTTCCAGCCAGGGTGCAATGATCAGCACTTTGAAGAAATAATTGAATGACGAAGCAGAAGCTTTTAATGACAAGGAACCAAGATGAGTGACATTCAGCAAGGCTTCTTGGCTAGTTAGAAAGATTGACATTCAAACGTGAGTTTACGTACCCTTTCTGACTTTTGGTCTAAAACTGGTTTTTGGTGAAGTTTAATTCTGTGCTTGGTGACGTTTAATCCTGTGTTTAGTGATGGGATAATTTTCCCTATTCAGCTTTGTTTGGAAGGAAAAATGTTAATCTCTGTTCCTGAAAAGAAGCAGTTTTGGAAATCTGACTAGTTCTGTGTCTATTTGTTCTTGTAATTGGTTTAACAAGCAACAGATATTCTGTTTGCTCCTTTGCTTCATTCTGGAGATCTTAAATGACCTCTCTGCTAAAGGGTTTCACTTTATAAGCAAGAGTTGGCTGCTGATAGTTATCACTGCATTTTAACTATTTTAATTCCTCAAGGTGCTCTGGCACCCTCCCTGATTTGTAACTCCAGTTTGCAGGTATTTCTAATCTAATGATTGGTATTTAGGGCATCTTTTTGCAAGCAAAAAAGCTTTTTGTATTTTTGTACAGGTAATCCTTGACTTACAACAGTTACAATGGCACTGGAAAAAGTGACTTATGACTGTTTTTCATACTTATGACCATTGCAGCAAACTGTCATTAGGGCAAAGAAGCGATGCCACATGACCACCTGGCCACGCCCACCCAGTCACATGAAGCACCGCAGTTGTGAAATGAGCGACACGGTTGTTAAGAATGCTGTAACGGGTGTAAATGATGACCAGTCATAAGTCCGAGGACCAGTCAAAAGTGCGAGGACCTGTCAGAAATCACTTTTTTCAGCCCTCTAGGTAGTCCTTTTGTGCATATGGACTACTCAGAGGGCTGAAAAAGTTATTTTTGACTGGTCCTTGCATTTTTGACCAGTCCTCGAACTTACGACTGTCCTCACATTAAAATGTTTTTGCCCTATCTTGTCACCATGGTGAAGAGAAGCAGTTGTGAAATGAGTGACATGGTTGTTAAGAATGCTGCACGGGCATAAATGTGAGGATGGCCATAAGTGTGAGGACCAGCAAAAAGTGCGAGGACCGGTCAGAAATGACTTTTTTCAGCCCTCTGAGTAGTCCCTATACACATAGCCATGGTCACATGACCTCCAAGCCACGCCCACCCAAATAAGCCACACCCACAGAACCGGTTGTTTAAAAAAATGAATCCCACCACTGTCATACTTCTTTTAGAAGCTGCAGTGGCAACTTATACATCAACTGATACAGTCAGTGTCAGTAATCAGGCACACACAGGAAGGAAAATAAGCAAACTCTCCCCATTCCATCTCATTCCCACAACCAGACTTACCAAGGAGCACTGCCCACTTCAGCATCTACCCCCTTCACAATTCGGCCTTGCAAATAGGACTCCAGTAGCTCATTCTCTGTGCTGTCAGAGATTTTCTTTTTCTCAAACAAGGGACGGACGCCACAATCTGGAAATATAGCCCCATCCATATGTGATTGACTAGTTCACAAGTGGTCCTGTCTTTCATAAGTCAACTTTTTGCTAGGAAGAGATGACAGTGAGTAGCTAGCTTCTGGCATAAGAACTTTTCCTGATCAACATGGATGTTGCCTTTATTATGCCCAGAGAAGGTAGAAAACTCCTGCCTTAGGGAAGATTGATTCTCTCTTCTATCAACCTCAAACACTATAATGGGGAACAGCAAGGTGTTTGAGTAATCTGTGGTATCCTGTATCCTGTGTGCAGTGTGTCAGTGGATCATTTTGGAGGACAGCACTGGCTGAGCAGGATTCTCCTTCAATCAGGGCTACTTTCTATTTGCTGCACTTAATTTATCCCAAAATTAGCTATTATGACAGCATTAGCCTCCTTAATTATTATTAGCGTCCTTAATAACTCAGAGTCTACACAACTATGTTGAGAAAGGAAATTTATGCTGGTGCAACCTGAATGAAGCATGCTCAAAAGGTGGAGTTAAGGAGAGACAGACTTCAGTACTGACTTCCTATCATTCTTATTTTTCATAGCAAATCAAATTTATTTCCCAGATTTCTACCCTGCCCACCTCCTATTGGACAATGGGCAGGTACCAATGATAAGACTTTTGAGGAAAAAGTCACCTGATTACAACTACAGGCTACTTTTTTTGTTTTATATATGTTTTTCTTTTGTATCAAATATTTTAACATTCTTATTTCCCATAGTCATTTAGGCTTGGGGCAGAATTGCAAATATTGTAACGAAGTCCAGTTGAATAATTATTTATAATTATCTCTAAACAAATCTAGACCTTAGTATGCCATTCAAAAGTGTAGCCTCTAGGCTGAAAAATATTATGTATCTCTGTGCTAACCCCATATTAAATGAGGAATTATATTATCTTTTTTCTCTAATTTCACTAATGTTCTTTAACTGATTCCTTTCCTCACCTGCTTCGCCTTCACCAAAAGTCTTAGGATCAAAGAAAGTTTCATGTTGCTGGATAGTAGTTCGTCCTGCTATTTGGACCTCGGCAACATCATCAGCATAATTTAGATTGTTTTCTGAAATGGAAGAGGGACAGGAAAATACAAAGAAGTAATTCAGTTAAAAGCATTGTGATTTCTCTATCAGTGGACTAAAGCATTCCTGATGACATATCAGGAGGCCCTATGGATTCTTAGGAGGGAAAAAAAATAAAACTATGGTAGTTGCTAGGATTCAATAGGTTCCTGGATTTTGTGGGGGCTCATCTGAGGACTTTTTGTCTTCAGCAATGCATGTTATACGCAAAAAATTACAATTGGAAAACAACAATTCCACTGTAGAACCTCAAAATTGTCCTCTATTAAATATCAGCATACCCTCCCGAATACCACATTCCTTCAGTGACCAAGGAAATAGAAGTCTGTTCCTCACCACAGTAGTTCAATTTGCAATAATTGTAGGTCATGTTTGGGTGGTCTACGTAGCACCAGACCCCTTCCTCATCATGATCAGGATTGCGGCAGTAATTCTCCACCAGGGGCACTTCTTCCAGGAAGTTTTTTCTATCACTCAACTGTCTTACTTTTTCTGAAGCCCATGGCAAGCACTGGTCTCCAGACTCTGTGACAGAAAGAGTCCCCGTATAGAGCAACCCTTCCTCAGGTACACATTCCTCCTCCTGCTGTGTTTGGTCTTGCAAATGAGGAAGTGTTGGAGAGAGGGGAACTGTTGTCCGGTTCTCACCTAGAAGGAAGAGCAAGATTACCGTAAGCATTGATGAAACAGCAATTCAGAGCTGACAGAAAAACAGTCACAGCATGTTTTCCCTGACATAGACATGCAGGACCTGAAAGTAGTGGTTTTGCTTCATACTACACGTCGTTCAATTGTTACTTTACATCAAGTATTTATCGAAGTCTGAATTCTGAGGACAAGCTGAAAGAACTTGTGATGTTCAGTTTGATGAACTTGGGGGAGACATGATAGTTGTGTTCAGGCCCATGGAGAGAAGTTAAAGGGAAGAAGGCTATGATTTGCTCATGATGCCAGTCAAAAGTTGGTTCTGAATCTCAATGATAAGCTTAAAAATGGTCAACCTATGATTGTACGATTGTGTGGGTTATAATCTAATTTCATGCAGATTTTTGCCTAATTCCAAAAGTAGTGTGCAAGCAATGAATGGAGACTTCTAGTGAGAGTAGTTTATCTTAACTGCTATGCAGGAAGGGGTGGAGTAAATTGAAAAAAAAAGAATCAGAAAGAGGAAATTGAAGAAAATTGAAAGTGTCAGGAAACAAATGATTTCTGGGGAAGCAACTGTGGACTGTGGAGCTGACAACTGAAGTAATAAGATGAACAGGTGAACGGATCAGCTCCTTGGAACTCCTTTCTGGATCAAGGAAAGGACTAGGATCACCCACAGATTTGTTCCTTACAGTCTGCCAGTAAAGAGATTGTAAAATAATCGCCAGTGGTTTTGAGAGCTCTAGGAGTGAGGGGGGAAATCACCTAAGCCATGGTTCAGCATCTTCAAAACAGACCCTGGCTTCCTCTCTTGACTACTTTAGGAAGTTGCTTGCTATTGATTTTCTGAATATTAAGAATCTTCTGAGTGGCAAGTTTCATCATGCTGGAAGAGTTTCCTTCTACCCTGGATGAAAGAGTGTAAGTTTAAGGATTTAAAAGAAAAACTTTAATTTTTGGAAAATAGCAAAATGGACTAGAATGTTGATTTTGGAAAGTTAAAGGCTCAGTTAAAGACTAGGTGGGCTTGAAAGCTTGTTTAAAATTTTTCAGTATAAAAGAATATATGAAAATGTTGAAATTAACTGTAAGAAAACTTCCTGTGGCAAAGTTTTTCTGATTAATAAATACACATATGATACATATATCATAAGAGAGAATTTTGAAGGTTGACCAGTAGAAACCAGAAAGAACTAAGGATTACAACTAAACGAGAAGAGGCCCATTAATACAATGGAGCAATACTAATTGACTACAGAAATTATGGTTGTTTGTACTCAGAAATTATTTACAAGACTGATACTGTAAAAATATATTCAAGAGAGGATATAGAAAAGAAGATTTTACTGATTAAAACACTGATTAAAAGACTGAATTGAATATGAATTTGTAAATGGATTTTTAAAAAATGAGGTGGAAACAATGCTACAATGGATTTATGTTTAAAACTGGCTAATATCTTAATAACTAAAGAGGGCATACAAATAATAAATTAGAATAATTTCTTTACAATAATATTTATTTTTATTTAAATAAAAAATCTTTTTTTATTTTGGATTTACAAAGATTGTTAAATTATTGCAATTGTTCCAGAAAGAAAAAAAAAGAGAAAACGATAAGAAATCAACCAGGGGTGACAGGATTAAAGATCAAGTTTTTTAAAAATAAACAGAAGAAATATAAAATTAATTTATTTGACCAGATTTAAATTGTATATATGGTAATTTCCGATAGCAATTAATGGAATTTCTTTTTTACCAGAATGAAATGATGAGGCTTTGAAAATCTGTCTACAAACAGGAAGATATTTCTTTTGCCTTATTTCTTAAAGAAAGTGATAAGCTGGAACAGAAAATGGATATATTTGACTAAATATTTATGTTACTATTTCTGTAGCTCTTAATGGACTTTTTCTGATTACTACCGAACAATGATCTTTTATAATTGATTATTGATAAAGTATGAGATATGGAAAAATATTTTTTAATTGAGCTATTAGAGAAGATGTTAAGTTACTGAAATTGTTTTATATTTATCTGGAGGTAGGGGGGAGTGAACTTTTCTTCTTATTTTGTATTTTCTGGTTTTTATTTCTTTGCACTTCTCTCTCTTTACTTTTTCTATTTTTCCTAGTTGTATTATTTTTTTATATATATTTGCATTTGTGAACTTGATTTTTAAAAAAAAAATTAAAAAAGAAAGTGTCAGGGGGAAAAAAGCAAAGGTCAGAAGTTCATCCACTTTTGATTCCAGCCATGTCTACTTCTTGCTTAGCCTCAGACACTGTTGACATTTGTGTACCCTATAATTGACTCTTAAGGTAACATATACCCCAACAAAAAAACCCTCAACCCTTGTTTAATCCCCATATTATATAAAGTAATACCTGAGCAGAATGTACCTCTGATCTCATGTAGGATGTCTTTCCCTCACCATATGGAAACTGAATTTAGAGGATACATTGTGCAGAAACTCATATAAATTAAGGCAGAGACCTAATCAAATTTTACCTTTTGTACCAGCACTGAGACTCACCACACACAGGAATAGCACATTCTTCTATTCGTACTGCTGGATTACGGGTATAACACCAAGGCCCTTGGGAGTTGTCGTTGGGGTTCCTACAGTAGTTTTCAGTGAGATTGGCACCTGGATGTGTTGTTTCATTGAACCTGAAAACAACCACATTATACAATAAACCCTTCCCAGCATTGAATTTACAAGAAGGGTGGTATAAACCAGCCAGTGTTTGCAAATCACAAGTATATCAGAGCAAGACAACTGTAGATGTGCAAAATATGTATCTTTTCCTATGCCCTAATTCAGTCATGGCAAAACTTTTGGTCTCAGCATGTCAAAAATTGAGAAAATGCCAAACTGCTGGTGTTGTCACCCCCATCCACTCTGAGTAAAAGAGAAACAATATAGTCTTGTTTTGTTAATTTTTGAATGACTCTTATGTCCCCCGCATCTAGGCCGCCCCAAACAGCGGCCCTCAGTGGCAACACTGAGGCTGGGCCTGAAGTAGAGACCCAGGCCTTGACTTCAGCCCTAGTGCCACCGCTGCCACTCAAAAAAGCCGCCTCATGATGTCCACCAAGGCAATATTGCTCCACCAGAGCCCAGCGCTCCCTGGGATCTACCACATGTCGCTTACATTCAGGTGATGTTCTCTTTCTATTGAAGGCCTTGCTGCCTCCCCAAGGCTGCTCCAGGTCACAGAAGGCCTTCATACTGAAGTGGCTTCAGAGAAAGCTCTTCTGTTGCCTCCAAAAGTCATGCAAAAGCACGGCCTGCTTTTTGCACATTCTTTGAAGCAGTGGTGGAATTCAAAATTTTTTACTACCGGTTCTGTGGACGTGGCTTGGTGGGCATGGCAGGGGAAGGATACTACAAAATCTCCATTCCCACCCCACTCCAGGGGAAGGATACTGCAAAATCTCCATTCGCACCCCACTCCAGGGGAAGGATACTGCAAAATCCCCATTCCCTCCCCACTCCTGGGGGAAGGATATTGCAAAATCCCCATTCCCACCCCACTCTGGGGCCAGCCAGAGGTGGTATTTGCCGGTTCTCCTAACTACTCAAAATTTCCACTACCGGTTCTCCAGAACCTGTCAGAACCTGCTGAATAGCACCCCTGCTTTGAAGGCTCCAGAGAGACCACAGCCCTCCCGCACAACTTCCGAACCATTCTTTGCAGCCTCCAAAAATCATGGAAGAATGGGGTGTGTGAGTGCTTTTGAGAATAGATATCGCTGGGTGTTAGTGAATGCTGGCTTGTCATTGAAAACGTGTGTGTCCCTTTTGACACACGTGTCATAGATTTGCCGTCACTGACCTTAGCTGACCCTCTCTTAACTGTGGTCTATCTGGTGATTTAAAATCAGTTTCTGCCTTTGACAGATAAATGATCAATCAATCCTCCAAGTAACCCTGACATCTACCTCCAACACCCTAGATTTAGCAGGGGCTGAGAAGGAGTTGAGCAGTTGAATAAAATTATCAGCTTTTGCTAGAAAACAGAGGTAAACTTTCTCAGCTTTTGAACGTGTTGAAGAAAGCTGTAGTGTAGACCACACATGCCAGCTTGCATCTCTGTGTACAGCCATCTTTCCTGAAAGGTGTGTTTCAATGTCAGTATGGAAGAAATAACCTCAGAATCCACTCATTTTTTGCATTTAGAATTATTTTTTTTCAGGGAAGGAAGGCTGCATGTTCAGTTTTAGCCAAGCAACAAATATATGTTTCTTCCAGCTGCCTTTCAGTATATTTAAGCTGGGTAGCTATAGTCTTGTTTTATTAATTTTTGAACGGCTGTGAAAATTCTTATTCACCTGAGGTTTTATCACTGTAGGCTGACTTAGGATCTGCCTTTAGGAATTAAAAGACAGTACAGAACTTTCTAAAGATAAATAAACTTACTGAGGTTTGTGAGGAAATTTGCTGGACCAGAACTGACATTCAGTTCCTGATTTGGTGACCGAAATCTTTCCCCTGTAATTCTGCCCTATTCCTAGGGCACAGGAACCTATCAAGAGTTCAAAGCACAGAATGAATGAAACAGAAATCATAGCATGGAGAATCAAGCTGAAGATTTCATGGTATAGGCTTGGATTTGGAATGACAGAACATACAGGGTTTATTGTGTTCGTCAAGGTTTATGATTCCTTTTGAGAAGAGGCCAATAAATATTGTAAATGGGTCCACCAAAACTCATTAATTTTTAAATAGCTCCTACATCAGAGGTTATATGAAAATTCAGTATTGTATTTCTAATAGACTACTGATATAAATAGCTATCAGGTGATGTGGCCATTGATTTAATAATAGATCTTTATAAAAAGATATGTATAATATTTAAAATACTGTAATTTAAAGAGTCTTAAGAATTAAAATCACAGTAAAATCAAAGAAATAGTCACAATCTTCAGTGATTTTACACCCCAGAACTATTTTTTAATTTTTTAAATGCATCACAGAATACATGCAGGATTCCAAGCCTATCACCACCTAATAAAGTAAAGAAACGAGACAATACTGGATTTTTTTTCTTCTTGTTTCACTGCCCTGGGACAACATGAAGGCTTAAAGCCATGCTAGAACTAGTAGCTTAAATATTCCAAAAATATAGAAGGTATTTGTTGTAAAATGTCATATAACATATTGGAAATTATCAATATCTTTAAGGATAAATATGTACAACTAAATTCCTTCCCATGTGTACACAGTTGTATATACTATATATATATTCTAAAACCTAACATTCAAAATATTTCATTGAATTGAATAGGGTTTTCCCATTGAAAAGTCATCATGGATCCTCCACAATGTTTTTACCTTTCAAACACTCATCCAGAGTTGCTCTCTTTTTCAATAGAGTGCTACAAACTAGGAAAAGAAGAAAAATATTTAGTCCACGGAGACCAGCAGCTCATTTATAAAAGGTGGAATCTAATCAAATCTAATTATAATTGGAAATGATTATCATGCCTAAAAGTATGAATGTCTTTTCATAATAATGATAATGATAATGATTAATAATAATAATAATAATAATAATAATAATAATAATTTTATTTATATACCGCCCTTCTCCCGAAGGACTCGGGGCAGTGTACAGCCAAGATTAAAACATAAATATACAATATCATAGTTAAAATTAATTAAAATCATTAAATAGTTTTGGCCGAATTTTAAAACTTTTCTTCAGCTTCTCCACAAATTGCTCCCCCATAATCAAGCCATAGAACTATTTCCCTCAATATTTCATTCTCCTGATATTTATGATTTTAATTCCCATCTAGCATAGACATGGAAATTGTGAGTTCTAATATATGTATGTAGAATACATATATTTGATTCTGACAGTTGACTTAAGAGTAATCAAGAACTTGGAATGAACATTCAACAATAAATTATCTGCAAAATTCTGGTTATCTGATGAGACTCACACAAAACATACCTGAATACTGTGCCCAGAATATATCCTGCAAAATAAAAGTTTTGACTTAGAAGACTGACCAGTGATAAACTGATTTAGTATTGTAAACTGAGATGTTTATTGAAATTTTACAGTAAAAAGGAGATATGACTCAGTCAAAAAAGGCAATGAAACTGAACACAACATCTTGCGTCAGTAATGCAGTCTATTGCTGTAATATAGTATCATGATCAAGAGAAGCCATTGCTCTTCTCTATCGTACTCTATATGTACTATAGAGTACACTATATGTACTATAGTGGATGAACATTGCATCCACTTCTGGCCGCTGCATTTAAGGGAAGACTTAGACAAACTAGAATATGGTGAGCAGAGGAAAGAGCAACCCAAATGTTATGGGATCTTGAAAGAAAAACTTGTGAGGAAATGTTGGAAGCATTGGGTTTAAATTAAAGAAAGTAGATTTTAGTTTAAATTGCAAGAAAGTAGATTTTGACTGAATGTCAGGAAATCATTCTGTCTGGTAAGAGCTATTCCACAGTGAAACAGACTGGCTCATAGACTTTCACCCAATGGATGAGCTCTGAGATACTTTCCAAGTCTTACATAATGAATAGCAAATATTTCAGACATAACTCTAATAATTAAAAAGAATAATAATCTTGCTCTACTGTATATAGCAGAGAAAATACTTCGAACGGTAGATGGACTCTAAATACGTGACTAACTAGTTTTAGGAACTAGTATACCAAATGATACATACTGTTTGGATGTTGGACTCAAGGGCTTCGCGGGCCTCCTCATAGACACAGGTTTCCTCTAGACACTCCCGCTCTAGATTACCTTTAAGTAACTCTTCCATGAACCCCTTGTTAGCTCGTGTGTGCCTCAGCAATGAAAGAGCTTCCTTTTGCTCAAGAAAAACTAGTAAAAACAAAACATCCAGTCAGTGGACCAAAAAGACAAAGATTGATTCTTTTTACATCTGTCTCTTACACGCTGGCTAGAATTTCCAGAAGTTAAAATTGAGCAACATCTAAAAGGCCACCGATTGATCAGCTCCAATTTTTCAAATTATAAAAATTGAAATGCCTGAAAAGCAACCTTCTTCTGGAAGTAGAACTCTCATTAATTAATGTATATCAACCTTCTCGTTCTGATGCTTTCCAAATATATTGGAACTATAATTTCCAGAATTTCTGTAGCGCATATAAGTTGGGAATTGTAGGAACTGTAGCAGTAAAATATCTGAAAGACAATGGTTGAACTACTATATGATCTGAGCCACAACAGGCAGAAGCAAAGTGCACTCTCCAGAATGCTAATTCAGGTAAAATTCCAAATGTTTCAGCCAGATGACCTAGATCACACCTCCTGGAAGAAAGCAATCTAAAAAATATAATGTCTTGGAAATAGTGCCGGATTTAGACTTGGTTAGGCCCTAAAATATATAAAGCTTGGAGGTAATAGTCATTGTTGACTATATAAATGGAGGCACCCTTGTTAAAAACTTACACTAGAAGGTCTCACAAAGGTGTGGATCATGGATCATGGATCATGGATCATCTCCCCAAAATTGAAAAACATAAATGCCTTTTAATTATTCAATAGCAAGGTGTTTAAAGTGAAAAATACAAATTATTTACAAGTTTGTTTATGTTTATGTTTATTTGGATTTATATACTGCCCTTCTCCCAAAGGACTCAGGGCGGTGAACAGCCAAAGATAAAACACATACAAGATAAAATTTAAAAAACAATTAAAATGTATGAAACAAATTTTGGCCCATACTAATTAAAACACCCCATTTTTAAAAGCAAATTAAAATTAAACAATTAAAAAGAGTTAGGCCAGCCCAGCTTGTTGGAATAAAAAAGTCTTGAGGGCACGGCGGAAAGTGCGTAAATCTGGGATCCTCTGTATCTCCGGGGGGAGCTCGTTCCAAACGGCAGGTACCCCCACAGAGAAGGGTCTCCCCTGGGGGCCGCCAGCCGACACTGTTTGACCGACAGCACCCTAAGGAGCCCTCTCTGTGGGAGCGTACTGGCCGGTGAGAGGCTACCGGTGGCAGAAGGCGGTCTCGTAGGTACCCAGGTCCTAAGCCATGGAGCGCTCTAAAGGTGGTAAACAATACCTTGAAGCGCATCCGGAAGACCACCGAAAGCCAGGGCAGCTCGCGCAGGAGAGGTGTTACATGGGAGCTCCATGTCACTCCCATAACCACCTGCGCGGCCACATTCTGGACCAGTTGGAGCCTCTGGGTGCTCCTCAAGGGGAGCCCCATGTAGAGAGCATTGCAGTAGTCCAGGCGAGACTGTGAATGTGTTTACTAATTACATGTTTATCATTTGGCTGTTTTGATCTGTTTTATAGATTATAAACTCATAGTTTATAGTGAATATAAAAAGACACATAAAATTCTAAAAGAAAGAAAAAGATAGATAGATAGATAGATAGATAGATAGATAGATAGATAGATAGATTCTGAAACTTTTGAGGCCTGTGGATTGTGAGGCTCTAAACTAAGACCTCCAACTCCACAACTCTGTGTCTTTTTCCCCTAGAGCCCCTAAGTATTTAAAATTAAAATTAAAATTAAATGCACAGCTTTGTTACCAGTCCGCTATCCTTGATCAACATGAAGCACAGAAAACTCTGTGAAATTACCTGATAGATTACCATTCTTTAATTCAGCAATTATTTTGCATCTCGTTCTCTTTCTATACTATGCTTTTCTATTCTCTTTCAGTTTTTTACTTTGTTGTTTGTTCTTTCCTATCAGTTTTCTTTGTCATTGACTAGTTACAAACAGTTAGTGAATAGTTTGCAAAGAGGAAGATTTTGCTCATTTTGGAAGTGTTCAAGATTGCTCTCTAAAAGAAATCTCATGGTTGCATTATTATTTTTAATAACCATAATAAAATATGATTGTATAAAGCAAATCTTTGTGAACTTATGATGGCAGAAACACATTTTCTTCATAATATAAAGTCAAAGTTTAGCCCAAATCTATGTGTTTCCTTTTCTTTTTCTTCTTTTCTTTCTTCCTATCTGTAGAGAAAAAAACTTGTTTACTTGCCCTCACATCGGGACTGCCACTGTGATGGCAAAGTTGGCTGTCTATTTATCTAACCTTTGTAATTCTCTCCTAATGCAACTTGCTGGGACATTTGTTTTCTCTTTTCCAAATTCAGATATCAAAACCTCTAAATCATCTTCAGGAACAAGCTCTGGACAATGTTAAGACAAAAATGAGTAGTAATAAAAAAGGAGGAAAAGGGACAGCCTAGGTAGAAATACCAGAGACACAACGAAGAGGAATTTAAGAACTAACAAATGTATTACAGCTGAATCTTGGCAGGCTAAAGTCTGTGCTGTTGTCACCTAAGAGGAGTTAGAAAAAGCTTGGACATGATTATTCTCCCTTATATTCAATGGCACATTTCCAGATTAGGCTTTTATTACTCAAAGAGCCACATTACTGCAAAGATTTATACCAGGGATCTGGGATTTCTTCTTCTTTTGTGTTTTCCCACCACCTCTCCTGACTTTTTAAGAAACTAAAATCCACTAAGAAAAGAAAGATGGAATATCTGCCTAGAAACACCAATACACAAACTCCTCAAAGATCAGAGAAGGTTTGAATCTTTGGTAAAGTATAAAGAAGAACTTTTCTATCAAGATAAGGAGGAACTTCAACCAGAAAGAACTGATTAAGGGGGCTCCTTTCCCATCAATATCACAAAACAAACACAGAAAACTGCAAATAGCTTCATCTGATGTGACCCTTGAGTATTCTTAAAATATACACACCCAAATTAAAAAGTAAAAAAAGAACATCTTGGTTAAAAATCTCAAAAATACTAGCTGTTTTCCTCGCTTCCCTTCGTAAATTTTCCCCAATATTTTTCTGCTCTTCTCTTGGGAGTTATACGACGCACTATGTATTTATTTCCACAGTTGCGGTATCTACTGCCTGCCATAGTCACTGTGCCTGGCATTCTTTAGAAAGTGTTGCCATTTCTTATATGACAAAGTCTTCCTGGATGGTTGATCTTCTAGCATTTCTATCACATATAGGACAATCCCAGAATAAACCCTGAGATTTGCTGTCCTATCCGGGAAATATTGTTATAGGTTACTCTGTTTCCTCTGAAATCTCACTGATGTCTAAACTGCTTACTCTCCAGATCACAGACTGTTTACTTCTAAAAGATTAACCTGGCAAATCTTTTTCAACTTCTCCCTCTTCCTCCCTGCTTTCAATCCCTTACCGCTGTTGCCCAGTGTGAGGTGAAAGAAGGTGGCAAGGAGAAGAGTCCTCAGCATTCTGATTCTGTTCTGCCCCATCTTGGATGCTTCTAAATGCAGAAGAACTGCAAACAAAGTGGATGAAGAAATGTTGTAGCCTAGCCTGGGTTAATGTTGAACCAGAATGAAGAAACAGGAAGCCAGGTCATAATGTGTCAGGGATGATAATGCCAAGGAAGGAACCCCCTCCTGGCTTATTCTCTCCCTGTCTTCAATGCACTTTTGCTTTCTCTAAACTTATTGACACATGCAATTGATAAATAAGAAAGACCCCAGGAACACATTTAGTGGACTCAGGACACCAGATATAAGTGGAGGACTGATCTTGTACTTCATGAAATTAACATGAAGGCTCTTTGAAGCAAAAGACATCTGACTCTCCTGGCTTAAAATAAGGGAATATGAAAAGGCAATGAAAGAACTGTACCATACCTTTAGTAAATACTGTATGAGCATAAAAACCAAACCCATGTGAAATTTTGATTGATTGGCCGATGAGGGTTCAACCTCACCACTGCTGAATATGGCACAAATGGAGATTCACCAGATGGATATTGTTACACTATTGTTAGAAAAGATTTTTATTAACAGGGAAACTCAGGCTCAGCTTTGCTTTCCCTTCAACTTTGTAGATTGGGACTACCTTAAGAGCTTTCAGCAAAAATATGTACTTGAATCTAGGTGGGAAAGTCCATCTCAGATCCTGACCACTGCCACGACCATTTAGTGTCAAGCTCTACCAGCATGGATTCATGCATCATATACTAAACTAGTTCCATTTCCATTGATAAATGCCCAACCCCAATAACAACTTGGCTGCTTCAAAATCATCTCTGCAAGGTCCACCAAGCAGATTGGAATTCTAAAGTCACTACCCGTGTGATCTCAGAAATATATACACATGTTCCCAGAGGTTCACTTTCCAGCAATGATTTTTCTTTCACAACAAATCTGGTATATACATTTAGCACATAGGTGGGGGGAAAGGGGAAGGGGCACCATGATGTATACTAAGCTCTCCTTTGTCAAAGAGAATTTGCCTCCGTATGTGAAGAATCTGTAATGCTAACTGTGGAAGAAACACAGTTACTTACTTGTAAAATTAACTTTGCCCCCTGGATTTAGTTCTCTCTTAATATACCTTGCTAGAACACTTCAGCTATCATATTTGCAATAACTACAATACCACTGCAGGATCCTTGGTGCTCTCTTAGCTTTGTTTTTTTCTTGCAGACATTTCATTATCAAACTAGATAACATAATCAGTGCCAGTATGGAGTTGGATTTTCTCGTTTTATACACTACTGGCTTGCTTTGTCAGTGTTGGTGGGAATGGTCTTGGTGGTTCCTTGATTGGGTTATTGTTTGCTCCTTGATGGTCTAATATTAACCTTGGTGTTAATCTCTACTCACAGGGCTGTTGATTGCTGGTGGGGAGGTGTCTCCTTTGAATGGTATGTATATGTTTATCTCTATGTGCCTGTTGGTCTGGATAATGTTACATAGATGCCTTATTATCTACCATTTGTTATAGCACTGAAGCACTGAACCCTGTTACCATACCATTTTAGGAGAACAATTGTCAAACCCAAAGATTGCCATTTTATTTCCCATTGTGTAGAGAAGCTGTTGCTGTAAAGGAACAGTTAGTCAGATACCTGAGGATGTGGCAAACAACTTCAAAACTTCATAGATTTGGTACAAGGTAAAGGATTGGTTTCCACAGTAATTGGATAAGAAAGTTTGGTTCTTTTAGATATAAGATTTTATTTTCCTTGTTGTTGGAACATGCATTTTTTTATGCATGTGCATATGTATATAGTAACGATCTCTGTTTACTGAATATGAATTGAATGTAGTTCTGGAAAGACTATAGAATTTATTCATGAATAAACCAGAGCATAGACATTTTAGCATTAAAATGAAACCAGACTGTCCCACGAATAGGGGGGACAGTTTTATGAATTGTTGTATATGTTGACTAATCTGGCTTTCAAGAATGTGGGATCTTGTTTATTAACTTCAAGGATTAACAGGAAGTAGAAATTGGTTCATGTATTGATAAGATGAACATTTTAATGAAGGCATGTTTGAAGTTTGGCTAAATGTTGAATATACAAAAATCTTAGAAGGCATATCTAAAGAGACAAAGGGTGTCTTTTTGCTTGCAAGCTGAGATAAACATTTACTCTGTTACAAATTTGACTTAAGGGTTTATTTCTTTGATGTTTGCAACTTTCCAGTGTTGTTTGCAGTGCCTCATATTTCCTGGTGATTTCTGATCCAGACCCTGCTTAACTTGAAAAGCTTAGATAAATTCAGCCAGTACTACCAGGTACAAGAGATTCTAGATTCTTGTGGCCAAAGCAAAATCATTGGGTGGGACTAGACAGCAGATAGAAAACATGCCATGTCAGATCGTATGATTCCTACTGCCATTAGTGCACTAATAGCCAGTTATTGGTTTTGTAATCAGTCAATCAAACAAGCTGTTGTAACAGCATTCACTATTGTGCTGGGATGCCTACTCTGTATGTAAGCATTCCTTTGACTGCCAATTAGCATATTATCAAAGAGTGTAGAGGAGAACAGAGATGGCCATGAAGAAAATATGTGGCCATCATTGGGGAAAAAATAATTTAGTCTGGGAAAACAGGAAGATATGAAAAGGTTTAGGATTGCCCTGCCTTTAAGTCTTTTAGGTTTAAGAGGGAGGGAAGGAAGGAGAAACACGCTCAGCTTTTTCAAGATTCCATTTTTACATCTTATTATAGCAATAAAGTAATCCTAGTATTTCTTGTGGCATTTATTTCCTGATTTTATCTCAAAAGGGATAAAAGGGATTGAGGAGGAATAGATTCTCTATACTGTTCTCTTCCATTGCAACCTGGGAAAACTGTTCTGTTAAATTGAAGTAAAGAATATGTATGAAGGAGACTTTGGATTGACTAAGGGTTGAAATTTAGGCAAACACATTCATGGATCTTGACACTGAAAATTATTCCAACAATACATACAACACTCTCACCAGACTTGTTATTTTACATACACATGTATATATCCACTTTTCATTGTTAAAAATGATCCCAAAGAGGACTGGTAAAGTTGTTTCAACTCTATTTCTAATTTTGAATAATAATGAATATGAATAATTGAACAAGTGTATAAATTTATCCTTAAAACTGCTCAGTAAAGTGACCCCATTGGTTGTTTGATGATTTAAAACTTTTTTACATGACAAGATCTTATCAGTTTGAATACGTAGTTTCCAGGAATTGAGCTTCACTTGGGAGAGTTTTTAATCTTCACAGTAGATGATGAAGTTATTTTTATCTCCCTCTCTGCTGCTTCTAATAGACAAGATTTCATAGCTTTACTAGGAAATAGTGCCAGCACTGCCATTATCTCAACAGATCCAGCCTACCTATTAAAATTATTTGAATTATTTTGGATAAGGAAAAAACTAACAACATTTAATCCATCATTTTGAATAAAGAAATAAAACCTGGGGTCTTTTTGTTCTTTTGAGCTACAACTGCCACAACTTCTTAATATTCTCTGAGTTGGCTGGACTAATGCAATCTGAAGCTTAAAACATTTGGAAGGAACTAACTTTATTTAAAAATTCAGACTCTGAATATTACAAAGTGATACAAAATATAATTTATTTAAGCTTTTCCTATTCTTATCTGAGACAAAAAGTAAATGCTGGAGATGAATTACCAACCCCAGACGCTTGCTTCTTTCTGTCTGTCTCTTTCACAAATGGGTTAATATCTGTTATCTCTACTGGAGGTTAGCAAATATTAGCATTAGGTCAGCTGGGAACAACTCTTTGGCCACTTGTACAAAGAGCAATTACACAGTCCCCTCCTCTGGTTGAGAACAGGATTTGAGGAGTAGAGAATCAACACTCATTACACAGGAGAGACGATTGAGAAATTTCCAACTCAGGACCTGGGTTATGGATTTTATATGACTGCACTGAAGACTGCAAGATTAGATGTATCACTTTAGCAATACTTGGGGGGTTGGGTGGAAGCAATCAGACAGATCACATCTCTAACAATGGTAGGTTCTTCTATTTGCCTAAAAGGTCATGGCTGTCTTTTAAGCCCATGATCCTCCTCACCAGGCACAATATATCTTGAACAAGATGGTGTAGATCAGGGGTCTGCAACCTTAAATACTCAAAGAGCCATTTGGACCCGTTTCCCACAGAAAAGAAAACACCGGAAGCCACAAAACCTGGGTGGGCATGGCCAACTTGATGTCATTCACTTCCACCAGTCACATGACCCCCTAGCCACGCCTACCCAGCCGGTCATTAGGGCAGAGAACCAGTTGTTAAAAAACACAAAATCCTTGTGACATCTCTCTCTCTCCCTCCCTCTCTCTCTGTATCTCTCTCTCTGTGTACCTCTCTGTCTTTGCCCTGGCCGCTTCTCCATCCCCCGTTGCCCTTACCTTCTCAGGCCAGGCGAGGAGTGACTGGGAGGGGAGGGTGAGGGGAGGGGCCAGCCAGTGGTAGGATCACTTGACAGGGAGCCACAGCAGAGGGCCCAAAGAGAAGCATGTGGCTCCGGAACCGCAGGTTGCTGGTGTAGATTCATAGGATAATTGCAGAGCATGTGAGAGGCCCTTCTATACCTGCCAGCCAAGAAGGAAATTAGCAGCCTTCATACAAATGAACAACTATCACTGTAGGGAACAAATTAATTTTGAATAGAGAGATCTTGATTTATATATTGTCCTATACTATAGGAATCACCTAGTTGAATAAATTGTTATATCAGATAAAACATAATTCAGCATCACTCTTCTTACTTTAGGGCCATAAATTAAAATAAGTTACAGTGTGTAATGGGATAGGAAAAGGCTGACTTTTGACCATGATGGCCATGGGCCTATCCCAGGTCACCCAGAGCCTGACGAAAGACAGTGGCCACACATCAGATGTGGTGTTACTCTCGCAAAGTGCTGTGATCTGAAATTAGCAGGATTTTTTTGTGTTCCCCTTGCATTGGTCACATCTTGCCCTCATACCATAGGATTCTCTAGTGCCACTGTCTTCTGCAGAGA